TAGGTAGCCTCTTTGTCCCCAATCCAGCGCAAGGCCCAATCTGCCTTCTTCTTGACACAAGGCATCGTTTCAATGGCATTGAAGAGAAATTCCCTAGTAGGCACATACAGCATCAGCAATTGAAGCATTATAGTAAAGACCCCTGATTACCAACTGCTAGATAAGAGCTCTGGGACAAAGGCCAAATTCAAGTATTTGCCAATCCTCTTCCTAAAGGAAGAACTCACACCGAAATGTTATATTTTTACTGGTCAGTTCTTCCCTCCAGTGTTTTTAAAAATCTCAACATTTGATTTACTTTAATACAAGTTTGGGTATTCTGTAGTTCATATTGAGCTTCAGGGTCTACAGACTGTAAAACATAGTCCAGTACAGCAGGGATATTTGTTGCCTTTAAAATTATTTCAAGTCCAGATCATTGTTCAATTTGAAGAATCATAGAATTTGAATTTGAAGAACCGTAAAATCCTAACTGCTATGCTATTATCAGACTATCACTGGGGGCATTATTTGGCCCCAGTTGCCACCATCTATATCATAAAATAATTAAACCAATAAACTAAGAATGCTTCCTACTAGAACTCTGTGCTACACAGTCGATCCCAGGTTGGGAAAGCAAATCCATGGTTACTACAGTTAACTGGGTCTCCCTTACCACCCTCCTCTAACTCCCTTTATTCTGGTGCCCACCGTGAGAGGCTACTGATTTCCCAGCCTGTTCCTACACAGATGACCTTGTGTTCTGAATCTGAAGCCAAGGTCAACAGACATTGGGCAGCTTTCATTATTATTTTTTTTTTTTAAAGAGATGAGGGTCTCACTCTGTCGCCCAGGCTGGAGTGCAGCAAGATGATCACAGCTCATGGTAAAACCAGACTCCTGGGCTCAAGCCATCCTTCTGTCTCAAACTGCCAAGTAGCTGGGCCTACCAGCTCACACTACCACACCCAGCTGCCTTTCATTCTTTCCATCTCACTGTCCTGTTTGAGACCTGGGTCTGCCTCTCCCTTGCTTTTGAGGCTTCCCCAGCAGACCATCTTGATCCCAACCATTCCCCTTTTGGTCATTTGCCCCAATCGTATCCCTAATCTTTGTCCTCTTTTCTCAATTTCCACCTATAAACATGTTCAAATCTCTTCACCCACAATCAGTTTCCTCAGTCCTTTCAAGTCACCACTTTTCCTCTTCATATACTTCAAAGTCTACAATAGCTACTTTAGGTTGCAGCTTCACCACTTCCACTCCACATAGGGTTCCAGTCCCTAAAGCTGACCTTTGTATCTAGACTACTCCAACAGCCCATTTCTAATCTCCCACCTCCAATCTCCAAAACAAAACAGACCTTAAGCTACCTTTATTCAGCCAAACTGCTGCATGCCTAAATCAGTCTCAGGGTTCACTGCTGCCACTGCCTTGTGTAACTCCTGCTAAGTCTTATTTGCCTGTACCGTACTGCAGCTTCCTTAGGAGACAAGTCTGCCCTGTCCTTCATCCCACCGCAGCCCCACATTCTAGCCTTTCAACATATTTACCAAACAAGCAAAGATGGTCAGACATAGGTTTTAGTTTGTCTTACCCAACATCTAGGAATTTTTTCAAAAGAAGGCTTTAGATTGGTAGACATCCAACTCTAAAAGCGGAGTACCTTCACAACTCTAAGTGAATAATAAAGTGAATTTAGGCCCCTTGCTAAGAGCAGACATGACCACGGGTGCTGGGAATGTCTATGACTGACTGCTTAGTCATTCTGGAGTCATTTTTATCCCTACATGAAGTAAAAATTTGTAATAAATCAACAATTAATGAGTCCTAAAAATCTTGGCATACCACTTGAATACTCACCTTTCTTTGGGATCTTTTATGTAAGTGTCAATAAGAAGACTATACATTTCAGAATGTATGTTTTCCATGGCAATTTGGAAGCCATAGAAACAGCGGGCTTCTGTAATCTGAACTTCTTGGCTAAATCGCTCCACCTAGTGGCAAAACACATCAAAGTTAAGCTTGAGAAAAAACTAACAGCAGCAGCGCTCAACAGATACTGGTAGCATCGCACTCTTTGTACCATTATAAGGTTTATTTCTATATATATTTCATCCAATCCGTCACAGTTCTGTGATATTTTATATCATATACTCAACTTACAGATCAGGAAATAGATACATATAAAATAAGATTTCTGTGAGCACTCAATGATTTCCTGATTTATCAAGAAAGATCCATTCCCAATAAGAGATACAACGAAATTATGATTAAAACAGCAAAGCCCCAAAAAGGAGGGAGCAGAGCCGGGCGTGGTGGCTCACGCCTGTAATCCCAGCACTTTGGGAGGCCAAGGTGGGCAGACCACCTGAGGTCATCAGTTCGAGACCAGCCTGGCCAACATGGTGAAACCCTGTCTCTACTAAAAATACAGAAATTAGCCAGCAGGTGGCGCAGGTCTGTAATCCCAGCTACTCATGAGGCTGAGGGAGGAGAATTGCTTGAACCCAGGAGGCAGAGGTTGCAGCGAGCCAAGATCGCACCACTGCACTCCAGCCTGGG